GGAGGAGCCGAGGGGGGCTTTGCTCGGCCTCCGCCAGGTTCTGCCGTCCGGGAAGGGGTGCCGCGCTGCAGGCTGCCATCTGGGACCCCTTACAGAGCAGAGAGTTTGCTTTACGGGTATCTTAAGCTAAAATACGGGGGGTTTTTTAAAAACACGAAATGGAAAATATTACTGCAACATACTAAAATAATACAGTGTATTTTAGGTGTCATCAATTTTCATGTCGCCTTGCAAAAGTAAATAAAACTTCCTTGCTTCACAGAAGAGATCTTTGATATATATAACTGGCTTTTTGCACAGAATTGGGGTTTACTTTTAAAAAACCACCCAGCCTTTTATGTATGGCTAGCTTAAAATACCACTTCCCCCCCCTATTTATAGAATGCAACTAAAACAGTGATGTAAAATAAGAGGAAAATGATCACAAGTTTTTTCTTAGTAAATTAAGAAAAAAATATAGAAAGTTGTCTTCATATGAAAAGTAAAGAGTTTTAGAAGTTAAGGGTGGGTAAAGCAGAGCATGGTACGTTGCATGAGCCAGTACCAGTCAACCTGCGGGAAGTGGTACAGTTGGCCAACTCATCCCTGGCCGAGCTCAAAAATCACGTGTCCTGGGCAGACACTGACTCTGCGCTCAGATTTCCTCAGCAGCATGAGAGCGATGGTGTTGAGTTCAGGAACTCCCGGCTGGGTGTAGAGCATCCAGTGTTCCTCTTGCTGGGCTGACTACCGAGGAGGTTGGGTGGGAACAGGATTATGTATCTGAAATTAAACAGAGAGTGCTGGGAAAGGAACGGGACCCGTAGTAAACGGTCACCGAGTACCTCTCCCCTGATTGCAAGACCTTATTTCTGCTGGCATTTTGATCGCGTACGGCATCTGGAAGCGTACAGTGCATTTTTTAAACAGTAGTTCTACATGTAGAAAGTGTGACCAGAGGGCTTTGAGCACTGACTGGCGCATTCCAAGCCTAATGATTCATGCTTATGATTTAAAACTGAGACTGCAGGTTTGAAGTTCAGTTGCATTAGTCTTTCTTGCAAGTGCCTTGCTGTATTGGTTTTTGTTTTTTTTTTAAAACTTGAGGGAAGGGCTTGAGGTAGTAATGAAAAGAGAAGTAATTACGTGGAGCCACTGGATATGACGCCGATTTGAGCTGACAGAGCAGAATGATGTTGCATAGCTGGCAGATTAGCAGTTCTCTATTAGATAATAATTCTCTAGGGATTTATACCTGCTGGTAACCGTTTTTTTTTTAATTTACCTAACATGGATTCTGGGTGAGTTCAGACAGGCAGGGGAGTTTGGTACTGATGTCCAACCTCCTCCAAACCAACAGTCGTAACATTCTTGTCGCAGGCTTTGTGGTACTGCCTGCATCACAAGAAATCCAGCTATTGAGATGCCATTATGCGAGTTCCTCTGTCATGAGCTGGTTAATCACCAGTTCCTGGTCCTTTTCCCATGGAAAGTAGGTAAGTGCAGGGTGGATTTTTCATTTCAGCCTCTTCACTCTGTAGGAACTGCACGTTGCTCCTGGGGCAGCTGCAGGAACTGCGAGGCCGGATGGCACCTTGCCATATATGTATGTCAGCATTCAAGCAGTACTTGGGTGTTTGCATCTTGGTGAATGTAATGAGGTCAGTAGAACAGAACTTGAGAGAAACATAGGTTTTCTTACTCATCTGAACCATTTTTTTGAAGAAGTGGAGAAAAAAACGCCAATATTTCTCCCTTCCTGGAGAGGAATCTCTCTGGCACCACGTTCTTTGTTTTGAACTGAAGGGTAGTTTGGGGGGGATAAGACTGAATTTCTACTGAAAGAGCTTGCGGGTTTACTGCCCTTATCCTTAAGGGAAGAGTGCTGAAGAAAATGTAGATAAGAATTCTGTTTGCTCTGTTGTCTTTCTGCAAAGTCATGCATAGGTGAAGGTCCTCAAAGGAAGAGATTAGTCCTTAGACGAGGAGCAGGATGCCAGCCTGGCCTGCAGGAGCTGGGCAGGGCTGGGTGCTGGGAGCTGGGCGCTGGAAGGGCAGGAGGCGGGCTGGGGAACTCTGCCTGCTACTGCCTGGCTTCACCAGTGCCAGATGCGTTCTCTGTCTCTTCACAGTTTTGTGAAGGTGCACGTTCAGTGTGAAAATGACTTTCGTTTTGGTCTGATGAAGTGCTGCTTGAAAAGATGTTGTCAATTTAGCTTGTTTCTATTTAAAGTTTAGTATTTGACGGTGGTAATTTCTGATGTTCCTGGCAAATCAAGAGAAATCGCTCCCCTGTGCTCCTCGTTGCTTTTCTTTGAATTTTGATAGGATTTGGGTAACTGCTTTCATCACTTTACTATACAGATGGCTTCATTTTTGTTGTGTAGGAGTTTCTTGTGCCAGCCAGAGAAAGACTGAATGATATTTTAAATAGGAAAACAAAAGAAGTTTGGCACAGGGCTCAGGGAGGAAGGAGTGTGTTTTGAGTGCTTTCAGTTAATCTTAAATTTACCTTCTTTCAATTAACTGGATTTTTTAAAAATATGCAATTGATAAAATGCAGTTCGAACAACAACTTACACACAGGTCTTGGAACTTCCTGAGATACAGAATACCATATAGCAGTTTTCTTCCTGAAAAAAATACTCTAATGCAGGGACTCCAGAGGTGTTTCTAAGGAATAACTGTAATATTTGAAGGCCAATAAAAATACACAATTCTTGCTAGAATGTTTGCCTTTTGAGGCCTGAGTGGGATGCCATTAGCTAGTTAATTCTAGCTTTTCCTGCTGGCCCTCCCACTTCTCCTGCCTTATCCCTAGTACAATGCAACCCTTTCCCTCACATCAGAGAAGCAGTGTTCTTTTTGATCTACTCTATTAGGCATACAGCTTTCATGGTGTTCAGAGAGCTTTGGAAACAAATTTTATATATATATATATATTATAATCCGGAGGTGAGGCGTAGCTACCCGACTTCCACTTTCTGAACCAGGGGTCCAGTTTCAATCCAAATCCAGTCAACAGGAGATGCAGAAAACCTGTATTGGAGATGTGGTCTGCAGGGTCAAAGAGGGAAATTTCCCTCTATGTGTATTCAGAATGCTCAGATAGAAATACTGCAGCTTTTTGTCTTTAAAAAACAAAGCAAAACCAAATCATCTTCCTTTACTCATGTTTTCTATTTTACTTCTACTGGACATAAAAACTGTGCTGGTAGTGAGAGTCACATAATGGACACGTTAACAGTTCTTTTATACCCGATTCTCAAGCTGGCCCTAAAACTGGCTTATTTCGTTGAGTATCTGGGTGTTTGTAGAAGAATGTCCTTTACCTGCTCCCTATGTGAGGCTTTTGAGATGGAAAGAGGCTTCAGGAGATGGATGTTGATGTCTGGCAAGGGTTGTAAAATAGAAAGACGTTCCTTTCCTTTCTGTTTTCTTCTTTCCAAGCTGGACATGAAGAGCAGGAAGGGGTTTTTGGTGCCCAGCAGTCCAGAACTCTTTTAGCGGCAGCTGCTGCACTGCAGAGTCGAAGCTGGGAATTATCTCCTCCTCTTCTCCACCCCACTCCTCCTCCCAGCCTCGGATTCAGACTGGCTCTGGGGTTAGCTCTGCAAGGCCAGCTGGCTGCTCATCTGACTGTAGTGCATTGCTGCCCGGCAGCCTGAGACTGCGGGGTGTTTTTTGGGGAGTTGAGTTTCAATGGCCACCCTGACTAGCAAGAAGCAAGGACTGCTTACATGGACAGCTCGTTTTTATCTTTTGCGGAGTCGGCTTTGTAGTGGGATGTTGAAATATGACACAATGCCTGTTTGTTTGCAATAGCTGCAACCCTTGTAGCAGAGATTCAAGTGGGAAACAGAGGGGGAATCCAGAGACAAACCAGCGGGGGAATTAGGAACTGTGACGCCGTGTCCTCTCTCCTGTGCCGGAGCAAGCAAAGGGAAGAGAGGTAGAGGAAAAAAGACTGAGCCTTGCAACCAGCCGTCACCCTGACGATGTGTCAGTCAAACACCCTGCAGGGACCAGATCTGCACACAGGGAAATGGTGAGATGCTATAAAGCTTTATCTAACCCTCCACCCTCTTGCTACAACCTCCGCAAAGTTAAAATTCATGTCCGGAGGCTGCGTTCAGGGAACGGCGGCAGCAGCAGCTGTGCCAGGGACCAGCACGCCAAATAGGAGAACTCGTTTCAGGTACTGTTCAGTATTTTCTGCTTTGCAGGAATGGTGACTGAAGGGAGAAATGAGGGAGGGAAGATGGGAGGGTTTCTGGGCAGAAGGAGCGACAGCCATCTGCAAAGCTTTTGTTTGGCCTAATTACTATAAAGCTCCTTATGCATTGAATTGGCAGAGAAGGGCACGCTGTTCTATGAGAAGGGGACTGAGGAGGCTTTCGTTCCTTTCCTTTCTACTCTCCATCACTAGAAGAATATAGAAAAATTAGCAAGGGACTGCTCTGAAACCAGGCCAAGGCAGTGAGAAGCCCGAGGGCCCCGGAGCGAGCTGCCAGGATGCAGCTCTGCAGGGATTGGTCCATGAGCGACTGCAGTGAAGGGGGGGAGAGCAGTGGGAGGAGGAGCGGGACCTGGCGCTCGAGGCTGGCAACCCGGCTCCTGGCCTTGCTAGCCCTCGAGCAGACCGCAGGCTGGTGGATGGTAAGGATGGGAGGAGGAATGTGGAGTGTCCCTTCCTGTTCCCATGTCGAGTCAGTCCCCACCTCCTGCTGGGAAAGCCTGCCTTAGCTCTGCTGAGACAGCACTAAATCTCCTCTGGGCTTTTTTTTGTTCAGTTTTTTTCCCCTGGCATTGTGATGCACAGATCATTCTGGTTTTTATTTCTTGGGGGGGAAAGAAGTTGTGCTCACTGCAGAAAAAAATCTCTGAGCCAAAAGTACCATCTTGCATCCCAAAGTGTGACAGTTGTACCTGCCTGCATGGTATTTTAATTCTGATCCAAGTTTTGAAAAGAACATGTTGGCAAGAAAATTTCCTTTTAATTTCCCAGCTTCTTTCCATCCTGGAAAGGCATACACAGTATTTTATAGTTCATCCTTTGTATCATATAATCCAACGAGAGGGCGAGCTCTTCAGAGAAGCCAGAGCGTGCCACTTCCCGTTTGTGTGTGCACGGAGCTGTATCCTGGTTGCAGGCACACTGACTTAAGCAGCCTGGGGAGAACAGTCTCTTAGCCAGGATTTAAGTCAGTGCCCGGAAGATTGGAATATTTTCCCCTCAGGTAGGCAGACTTTCATTTGAGAATGTAACCTTGGAAATGCCAATGGTTTCTTCACGAGTAGAGGCCAAAGGATAAACGGGGACCTGAAGGGTCTCCCATCCAGACCTCCTGCAAGGGTCTGAACTGAAGCCCATGATGTCCTCTGCTCGTAAGATGAGCAGCTTTTCTCTCGGAGAGTTACAAGTTCAACTTCGCCCCATGGCCATTTGTGCAAAATTAGTTTGCTCTCAGCCAGGACATCCACATCACAAAAAAAATCATAGATTCAGTTGGTTATGAGGCCAAAAAGTTAGTGATTGGTCTATGGAAACGAGATTCTTTTGCAGCACTAGCAAGACCTGCTTTGTCCACATGTTCTCTGTTCAGAACCAGGGTACCCAAGTGAAGGCTTTAAGACCTGGAAAGCTGTCTTTTGGAATCAGTTATTTGAAAACTGTGTTAATTAAAGCAGGAGTGCCACTCCTGTTGTTTCTCAAGTAAGTGCTTGTTCTTGAAGTTTGTGAATCACCAACAGGTCTGTGTAAATTTAACTCTGAGGCACAACCTAGTCAGGATGCCTTCAACACATGAACCCTCTGAGGGACCTCAGCTTCTTAGGTTTCAAGGACTTCTTTCACCAGAGTATCTGTTTGTAATATTACGCCTTCATACAGCTCTTACTGAAGTCCCAGCATCACAGATCCCTAGCTTTCAGAATATTGTTTGCTGTCCACTTTGGCTATCCAACAGCTGGAGCAGTCACAGGAAATGTTTTCTGGGAATGTAATCTTCTGATATTTGGAAGAAGAACCTTTGCTCTTCCATGTTTCCACTAAAACCTATCGTTATGTTGTTAGTTGGATGAACCAGTTGTGACTTTGTTTTCAAATGTCACCTGCAGGTGATCTTGTCTTTAATTTTTGAGGGTGTTACTCATAAAATGTGACCTGCAAGAGTGGACACCATTTTTTGGACAGAGGATTTTTTTTTTTTTTTTTTTTTTAAAACTGGGGGAAAGAACTGACCAAAATAAAGGAGTAAAGACTTGCAGAATCAATGTTTACGTAAAGATAAGCAGGAATAAATCATCCCCAGCTACCAGAAGCTGGTAGTTCTGAAGCTGAGATGGCTGACCCTCTTATGTTGTGTATGTAATCTTTCAGGTTGCAATTTCCCCAGCTGGCCCTGAGGCGAAGGTTGGGCCAGCTAAGCTGTATGTCTAGGCCTGCTCTGAAACTCCGTTCTTGGCCTCTGACTATTCTCTATTATCTTCTGCCTTTCGGTGCTCTTAAACCCTTGACCAGAGTGGGATGGAGGCCTATGAGCAGGGTAAGTGTGAGCAGGTCTCTTGCGCTTCGCGTACATTAGCTGTTTTATACCAAAGGGAGCTGGCAGCAGCTGGTTGGAGAGATCCTGAATATAGAACAGGCTGATGGTCACTAGTATGAAAGCAGAGAGATGCAATTCATGTTTCCCTTTGGTATTTACTGTCCACAGTTGTGGTGACTTACTGCTTTACAGACCAGTGATTTTTTTCAGTAGCAGAAAATTTCTTTGTCCTGTAACAGTCAGGGGTCAACCCGGGAAAACCAACAAAAACTTTTGAATTAATTCAGTCACCTCAAAGTATCAGAGCTAGGATAAGGCAGACCAAACCGCCTCTCAGTTCCCTTTCCTTATATAACCTAAGGTACTGCTGATTCAGAAGTTTTTATCTAAAGTAAGATTAGGTTGTTTTCTTTCTGAAATGTCACTGTATTTTAATGTGATGCAGGATGGTGATTTGTGAGTGAAATCTTAATTTGCTATATTTGCTAGGATGGACAGGCTGTCTAGCTAGCGTGCGCTTCTGCTTGTGTTTATGGCTGTATTTTGCAAGACTTAATTGTGAAGGATATGATTAATATTGATAATAAATGATGACTCTCAGTAAGAAAAAAAAAACAACCTTCTAGTTGGGAGTTAAATCTAGCTGAGCTGCAGTGTTCAAAAAAATTGTACCAGATTCAGCAGATAACCGCTTCTTTTGCAAAACTGGTTTCAGAGGGTTCAGTTCCCTTGGTCCACACACCCTCAACCCCTCGATTACACCACGGTCACGCGAGGTTTTTGGCTGACACTAAGTACCACAAACCCCAGAGGAGTTACCTGCTAGAATTGCCCACAGGAAGACACTGTCATCTGTCCAGTTACATCAACAGCATATACCTCTTGCCAACATTGTTTCATTTGGTTTTCTTGCTGCTAAAACAGGCCTGGTGTTAAGTCCAAAGGTGCATTTCTACAGGAATAAAGGCACTTTACTCTTGCAATTAGCAATTCCCATCGTTGCGAGAGGAGTAAGGCTGGCATAAGTTTATACGGGCATAGCTGTATCCACATGGGTATGCATGCTTCTTCGACTGCACAAGTATCAATAGAGCAGTACAATACTGGGACGTGGAAAACACCCTTATTAGTAGATGCATCATAAAAATGAATATATTGGTAACATTAAACCCTTCTGATGAGTGTTCTACTAGGCTATGTGAAATGTGTCTTTTTCTATAAGCCTCACATTGGGCAGTTCCCAGTAGCTTGAATGCAGAGCTTCAGCCTGCAGGGGAGTGGAGATTCTGGCTTCAGTGTAAGGTTGTAGTAGGTTTCATCCTGTTCCTCATCTTCTCTCATCAGAATGGAGGGAGTGAGGATGAAGTGCAGTGTTAATTTTTTGCTGACTTAAAGACTACTTTGTGGTGTAACCCGCTGAATTCAAGGGAGTGGTTAGCAGGAACGGTTTGATCCTTTCTGCTTTATGGGGAGAAGTAAGAGAAAGCCATCAGTGGGAAGAACTGACTGACGGGGTGCAATTCTTCCTTCTTTAGGTTGCTCTGTACAAATCGGTACCAACTCGACTGCTGTCACGAGCCTGGGGTCGCCTGAACCAGGTGGAGCTGCCTACATGGCTGCGGAAGCCAGTTTACAGCCTGTACATCTGGACATTTGGAGTGAACATGAAGGAGGCAGCTGTTGAAGATCTGCACCACTATAGAAACCTCAGCGAATTCTTCCGCAGGAAGCTGAAACCACAAGCGCGGCCAGTCTGCTGTTTGCACAGTGTGGTGGGTAAAAGAAAATGAAGGCTTTGCACTACGCTACCAGCTTCTCCTGCCTCCCAAAGGATCCTGCCTGCTTTACAAGGAATTAATGAATTCCTAATGTGTTCCATTTTTTTTCTCTTTGCTTGTAGATTAGTCCCTCTGACGGAAAGATCCTTAATTTTGGACAGGTAAAAAACTGTGAAGTAGAGCAAGTAAAAGGAGTTACTTATTCTCTGGAATCTTTCTTGGGACCTCGCATCTGCACAGCAGAACTGCATTTTAGCCAGGGTGAGTTCTGCATTTATTCTGCTCTGCCTTTTCAGTGTTCTCAGAGGTCATGAGAAAAAAGATTACTTTTTTTTTTGCCTGCCCCCCCCTCCTTGTCAGGAACAAAAGCAGGTCTGATTTTTGTTGTGTTTTATTTGGGAATAAAAATGTCACTGTTCTAGTTCTTCTCTTTCTCACCAGCAGCTTTACAGTGTCTTGCCTGGCTCATTCCGATTATCTGAATTCAAGGGCTTCGTTCCTACAACTCACTCAAAGATCTACCACTGTAATGAGGCTGTAGCACTCCAGGCTGAAATGTGCCCAAGCACCTGGTTCGCAAAAATTGTATAAGCTGCTCCATGACAAGATTATGCTCAAGCACTAATCTTCTAATGACTTGTGCTGTTGCTGCTCTGCTGCACCTTGAGCACTGTCTGCAAGGTCTCAAGCTTAGATGAAAGCAACACACTTTGCTGAACTGGAGAGACTGAGTTCTGCAAACAGCAGGGTTCTTTTCAACATGAGAACAAATGCAACTAATGCATTTTATAAAACTGGGGACGCCTCACAAATTCTGTTCTTGAAAAGGTTGCTTTGAGACAAATTCTGTTCTTGAAAGAGTAGCTTTAAGAAAAATTCTGTTTCACTGGATTTCAGTTTCTGCTGTTCTGTTTAGGGAAGGGAAAACTCCAAAATGAAAGAATTTCCAAAACTATTAAACCAGTACAGGATCTAATTCCCTTTATTGTTGTAAAGGGAAAAGAACACTTTGAAATACTGGATTCCTGGATGAAGTGTAGCTTTTTGTAGTCTCAACAATACTCATGGCCTACATTTAGTCCTCTGCTAGGTTCTAATGTAGACTGCTCAGCTATGGTAGATGACTCTGTGAAAAATATCTTTAACCCCTTTCTTTTAATGGTTTCTTTGCAGCCCCACCTGGTAACTCTTTTCAGCAACAACTGGTCACAAAGGAGGGGAATGAGCTCTATCATTGTGTAATCTACCTTGCACCGGGGGATTATCACTGCTTCCACTCACCCACTGACTGGAGAGTGTCACACCGACGTCACTTCCCAGGTAGGTTTATTCCTAGAAAATGCAGAGCAGCTATGGAGGGAAGCGGTGGCATAGGCCATTGCTGAGCGAGCCATGCCAGTGGAGCAGTTGTACAGTCACATGATAGAGAATGGTAGAAAAGCGGTCACAAATGGTAATGAAATTTATCATCGTTTACCAGAATAAATCACAGAAATGGTGAAAACAGTAATATTGTATTCAAGCTGGTTTAGCTCTTTGAAATAATTGTTGATGCATGCTGACCTGACTTGTTCCTAAACACGATTTGTTCCGTTTGAAACACAGATAATTCTGCCTACTTTAGCGGTAGGCTTTCACTGTCTGCAAATGCAGGCAAGGTGAAGCTGTAGGTGGGAATAAGTGAAAGCTGAGGGAGGCTGGGGGTACCAGCCAGTCTGAAAAGAATAATTTCCAGGTATGAAAATCTAAACCCTTTGCTCTTTAGCAGAAAGAACTGTAGATGGTGCTCCAGATTGCACTCGAGCCTTACAATGAAGGATGAGCATGGTCTTTAGTTTCCCTGTGACTCTGCTAGGAAAAATGCAAAGTAATATGAGCCCTGCCCAAGAGTATTGATCTTTCTGGACAGAAGACTAAAGTTTACATCTTCTTATGACCCGTTTGGTTTTACTACAGCCTTGTCTTTCACTCTGCCTCATGTTCGCCTCTCTTCCTACAAATAAGTGACAGAATTGCTTTCCAGATCAGCTGCAGTTATACTGAAAATACCACTTGGATGGCATTACAGTATCGCTACAAACCAGACAACTTAACTGGGAATATTTTCTCACTATTGCAGGCTCTTTGATGTCTGTGAATCCTGGAGTTGCTCGCTGGATCAAGGAACTGTTCTGCCACAACGAACGGGTTGTCCTTACAGGTGACTGGAAGCATGGCTTTTTCTCTTTAACAGCTGTAGGAGCAACAAATGTCGGCTCTATCCGCATCTACTTTGACCAGGTGAGCAAGACAGTAGTAGGCAGCTTTCTGGTTTTGATGGTTGAGGCTGGTACAGTATACTAAAAGAAAATGACAAAAAAATATTTTTTTTAAATCTTACTACCCTGAAATTAAGGTGTTTAACAATACTGATGTTCTAAGACTGATTTAAATGGAGTCATCTCCAGTATAAACTATTTTTTTTAATATTCCTATTGCACTTTCGAATTGTAAGTGAATTCCTGCATTGAAAATGCCTAGATATCCACAGTCTACAGCTGTGCTAATGAATACAGAGTACTGAAATCCTCAAGTAACAGTTTCTTTCTTCTCTGTACAGGACTTGCATACCAACAGTCCGTGTTACTCTAAAGGTTCCTACAATGACTTCAGCTTCGTATCCAACAACAACAAGGAGGGAATCCCCATGAGGAAAGGGGAACATTTAGGGGAATTTAACTTAGGCTCTACAATCGTACTGATCTTTGAGGCACCCAAGGACTTCAAATTTCACCTCAAAGCTGGACAGAAAATCCGCTTTGGAGAAGCACTGGGGTCTCTATAGAACCTCCCTCAGCGAGGTCTGCTATACAAAGGGACTCTTACCACACCACTGAGTGTTTCACTAAACAAGTATGTGTCACTCAGCAGGACCTGGGTGAGGAAATCAGAAGATGTTATTGCTATGTTGAGAGTATTTGGTCTGTATTTACATGCTGCTGAATGCAGAAAGAGAATGGAATGACGATATATGTGTCAGGTACAGCTGCCTTTATAAAGATGTTGACCATGGATATTTCTGTCCCACGCTGTGCCTGTAGTCTTTCATGTTGTCCCCTCAATGTGCCACAGAATAATTACATTCTTAGAGCCTGTAAGTCCCTTTTAAGCCTTCCTAGGCTGTGCAGGTGCAATGGGGAAGGGTGGAGGTAGATAAGCTGTATTTAAAGGGACACAGACAGGCTCAGTCAGACCTTATATCTGCAATATCTATATTTCAGACCTTGAGTAAAGAATGTGTTCTCCTATTTATTTTATTCTAAGACACTCTCCTGCAGTTTTTAATATAAAGTCAGCCTGTGACCACGTAGAGCGCCAAACAGTTAAATGGGCTAGTATGTCTTCACAGTCCAAACTAAGCAAAACATACATCAGACAGCATCAGTACAATAAATTACACTCATTCACATTTTCTACTGTTAGACATCTTCCATTCTTTTGCCTGACATTGTCCCTTTAAAAATGGACTTTGCACTGTATTTTAAACCTGAAAATACTTGTCTGCATTCCATATGATGAAACTGGTCATCTTGCGATTTTCTTTGAAAAAAGCAGATAAAGCTGTGTCCTGCTCCTAACCCATGGTTTTATTTTGCTGTTCCAGGCCTTAAGGATTTTATTTGTATGAGAGATAGTTACTTCACTTCTTGGATTAAGGGGCTAGAAGACATAGGGGATTCTTTTCTTGTATGATGCAATGAGATGGCAGCCAAAATATTTTTACTTTCTGATATGTATCTTCATTTTTACTTTGTCACTAAATTCTTGAAGAATTAATTCCTGTACTTACAGAACAGTTTCAGATACTTCAGGACCAATTTTTATTGCACGGAGTGAAATGCCCTATGCACTGACTGTGTATAGAAACATTACCTATCTTTGAAGGAATCCCAGGTTGCCTCTCGGGTGCCAGCCCAGCCGTCCTATAATGCACTGGCAACAGTTTCATCTTCTCCAAAATATAAACCACATCCACACCTGCTCTGACTCCTGCCCTCATACTTAATGCTAGGAATGTGCTGGTGGGGAGTGAAGGCTCTATGCTGAAGCTTCATCCTACAGCAAAACTTCAGAGCCTCTCTGTAACTTCATGTCAAGAAGAGTTAAAATCTAACACCTTGGATCTGTTGAGTGTGGCGCTACACGGCACTGACAGAAAGCCAAAGTGAAGAAGAAGAATTGAGTTTTAGAGCAATGTATCAACTGTGTTTAGAGAATAAACTGTTTCAAGTCCAGGCACTCAAACATTTAGAACAACTTTGCTGTCCAGAGCTTGTTGGAGGGGACATGCTTATGAAACCTGCCTTTCTGCTCTTGAAAGATTTCTTATATTACTTCCTTGCTTGAGCCTTGGTTATTTTTTCTGCTACTTCAAGGAGATGGTGGGCTTTCTGATTTCCTAAAGAAAAACTTCTCTTCTTTGTATGCACTGCAGAAAATAGAATATAATTTTGTTGTACAAATGTCCAGTTTGCCAAGTCCTGTATGCTTAGCTTGTCATCAGGAAAGACAGGATGATTAACTGCCTCCAAGTGATGTAGCCCAGCCATGACTCAGATGATGGTGGCTGTTTGGGTGACAAGCAGGAGAAAATTCATTTGGCTCCGAGAGTCAATGTTTCCTCACTTTACCTGGGGAGGAGTTTGAAAGCTTGAAGTGGCTCTCAGCCACCTATCTTGTTAAACTTCTTGGCATTAGCAAGTTTACTCCTGCAGCAGTGTATTTATTACCATATACAGATTATAGATGTGCGCTTTTTTAAACCACTGAGAGTGAGAAAAGTCTAAAGCAAACATCAACCCCAAGAGGATAAAGCTAGCCTTTTGACTAAACTTCAACATCCTGTTAACAGTAGAAAGCAAATTTGTTCCAGTGGATGAGAAAAAAAGACAACTGAATTTTTTGCCCCTTTTCCATTGGGGCCTACGACATCCAGACATAGCCAAAGCAACTTAAGTTTTAATTTCTTCCTACTTGGCATCATCATCCACGGTATCTGAAGGTTACTGTTAGCCTAGTAATGGAGGATGGGTTACCTGGTGTTTGCTTTATTAGAAATCTAAGAAGGAGGAGAGGATTCAGCATCCAAGTGGCTGTTCTTGTGATGGTCTTAATAACTGTGCAGAGCTAGCTGATTAACAAACATTACTTGTTACGCAGTGGTCAGCAATGTGCCCTGGAATCAAAGGCAAAGTTCTAGAGGGTACTGATAATGCTGTGAATTTCTCCTGCATGGAGAATCCATTAATTCTTCAACTGTATCAGTAGCACGGTATTTTTGTATGTCAAAGTGTATGACTTATTGACATTAACTCATTTAATTGCAAACATTTTGAAATAAAGAGTCTTATCAGCGTTGCTTATCTTTCTGAAATGTCAGAGTAACCTAAACTAGGTACTGTGAGTGCAGCATGAAGCATGTCTAGCGCCTGTTTTTAACCAGCTGTAGTAACAAAATAAAGCAAGCAAAAGTATTTAAGTTAATTTATTAAATAAAACTGCCATACATAGACTAAGAGAATGTATACATCTCTTCCATCCTCTCCTACTATGAAAGGAGCAAGAAGTCCTACCTGTGAGCTGGAAAATTGGTTCAGATGCATTATATATCCAGAGCAATCTGTATATCATGCAGGCGGGCAACCAGTTTCTGCACATGATGCCTCTCTTTTAGTTGTGCTTTGGTGAGAGTGTTGATCCTCACCTGCAACTGAAAGTGAAGACAATTGCATAAGGCGTTTGTACAGCAAGACAGCATTTAGTCTTTTTCACAGAAAAGTGAATGAGTTCTGGCAGCCTTTATATTACCCCACTTAGGAACCATGAAGTGACAGGATTGTGTCACTCGGGAACAGCCAAGTACTGGCTGGCTTTAGAGGTGGTGGTGCAGTACCCACGCATGTGGCCGTATGAACCTGGGGACTGAGCAAGGCAGATGCAGTCAGTGTGGTATTACTACACCGACCTGAGAAATCGCAGAAAAGAAATTGAGACTGAATCTCCTAGAGCCTGCTATGTAGCTTGGAAATAGCCTTAGAAAGGTCTATTGGATCTGGAGTTACATTCTGAACAAGTAGGAAGCTGCAGCTACACAGCAGCCTGTTCTGTTCGACAGCCCGCTTCTGATGACGTTTCCCTTCTCTTGGCATTTTAGTAGCAGCTTACTACACAACTAACAACTGCCATCGGCCTTCAGGCTAAGTGCATAGCATAGTGATAATCACTTCAGTAACTTCAGTTTGCTTGCTATGTACACACCTGATCCAATTCTTCCCGAACTCCATGTACGCCATCTTGGTCCTCTGGCTGCACGCTCATTTCTAGCCACTTCTGTAGAATCCGTGCCTGCTGCTGACAGGACCTGACAAAATGGATTAGAAGGATTCTTATCCCAATTAAGAGCTCAACAGCCTAAGCCAACTTAGACCTGCAACTGATACTTGCAGTAAGACCCAATTTTTTGTCTCAAACCAGTAAATGATAAAAGTTTTTAAAATAAGTGGGGGGAAAAAAAAAAAAAGTATGCTGGAAAGCAAAGAAATTTGTCTGAAAGCTGTTGGCTCCATTTCCTACTCCTAGGTCCTGGCTTCTTCCTTTCCTGACAGCTGAATCCCCTCCAAGCCCCATTTTCTTTAAGTGTTTTTGTAAACATCTCATTCTAGTAGCAAAGTTGTCAATTTTTTTTTAATTGACAGTTGAAAGAGCTAAGTCTTCACTCCTTGTGATAAAAGAACTAAAAGCTGAATTTCAGCTGCTCTACCAAGTTCATTTATACTGCCTTCAGATTACACCCAGTGATACCTTTGTCATGCCTTCTCCAATAGCTGCCAAAGGTATAATTAAACCACTTGCTGACCACAAAAGAAGTGCATGTATTCTCTCCCACCTGGAGTGAACTCTTAAAAGGAGAAAATAAAAATCTCTAGAACTTTTCTCGGTTTCATTCACAGTTCTGCTGTGAACAGACTGGTTATTTTCAAAGCAGGTACATCCAAAAAAAGCAATACTGAGTTGACAGCATGAAGAAAGGCTGGCTAAAGGGGCTTTGCAACAAACCTGCTGAAGTAGTACTGCATCTGCTGTTGGATGTGTCGAAGTTCAACTTCCAGCTTTCTCTGCAACACCATTTCTTCTCTGGAACTGTGCTCCCTTTCTTCCCCTTCAGCTGAATGGAAAATAGAAGGCACAAGCAATGGAAGTAGAACAACAGACTTACGCTGTTTCTTCTTACCAAGGAAAGTCACGTTAGTACATCGGAAACACAGAACTCCCCCTGAGTCCTTTTCACATGTTTTGTCACGCTGTGACATGTACCTATGCACCCAAAAGACAGTACAGTGAGAGGGCAGGAGTCCTGACAGCGTTACAAGCTCTCTAGACTCAGTTTAAACATACAAAAAAAGATAAGAAATGCTCTAGTGAATGGTTTAGTACTACAAATGCTATTTTGGCCTATTCATGATTTAGTGGTTTACATTGACTTGAGAAGGAAGTAGTTAAGTCTAGTCCCATGGAACACAAATTTCATGCCCTTACATCATTAAAAACAGTGTTGAGAGGTGCTTAGACACCATCCGTCCCCTTTACAACCATACTGTAAGTACAGGGAAAACTTAAGAGACCCTTACTGGGTGAATTCTTGCCTCCTGAAGCGAGTTCTGCTGTACATTCAGCCTCATGTACATGAACTCGGCACTTGAGCACATTCTTGCTAAAAGAAGCCAACCCCTAGGAGTTCCCATCCTTCAGTCTCTAGAACAGGGCTTTAGCCCCCTCTTTCACCAGAGTCTGTAAAACTGTATTACCATCCCCAAAAGGAATGACTGATACTCTTCACCTCCTGATGCAGGCATACAAGAATGCCTTGTCCCCCTTACGTTTTGTGGAGCTGACTTGCAGTCTTGTGTGTATTGGAGGACACACTAACTGCTACAGTTTAGATCTGAGGACTTACCTGTATTTTGGTGACTCCATTTTCCCCCCAAGTCCTCAGGTGACAGCAAACATGGCTGCAAATTTGGTCGCAACTTCTGCTCCACAGAGTCCTGCTGAGACTCTTGGGAATGGACTCCTTTGTGACCACCCACAGGCAGATCTCGTCTCTACAAGGTCAGAACAATACGGGATTTTTCCTCAAAGGGTTTTCTTGAGTAAGTCCTACAAGTAGGATGCACCTGACCTACTAAGTCCTACTCCCACCCAGACATCGCCTGTAGTCACTGAGCCCCTCTCATAAAATACCACAGAAGCAGAGCTTAAAAAATGGGGTCTTTCATTTCTAGCATGGAGATATCAAGATTAACACCTCCCATTCTGTGTGGAACGGAGATGTTTAAAATGCAAGCACCTACTTGCAGGTAAAGTGAATTTAAATTTTTGAGACTCTCAGCCATAGCCCCTGCTACTAAACTGAGTTACTCTTACACCCCTGTAATCTGGTTGGCAAACTAACTGCTCTGAACTCTTCAAAGGAGCAGCACTCTCATGTAAATTGCCAGGAAAAGCACCCTGCCAGGAAGGACACAAGACCAGGAAAAAAGGCATGAGTTACACATGGATTGGTGAAATATTGCTTCAGACTGGTGGTAAACAGTTCTTGGGCATTCAGAGCCAGTTAATTTAGTCAGCTTTTAAGATGCTAGCTAGAATAAGAGAAGAATAACTCAACCATCAGACAGGCAGTCCAGAGGAGTGAGTACACTCACCATTTCTGCTCCAGCTTTCATTTGGGGCACGAAAGATGAAGGAGACCATAGCTCTGGCCTCTGAACGGCACGACGCACATCATGTGTCCACAGGGGTACAGACGGGAGAGCAGCATGTGTGAGACATGGATAGGAATAAGTGGTATTGTCCATTTGAGAGAGACATTTACAGGTACTTTCTTCCATTTGAGGTGTCAGCATTAGGTTCCCAGTCTGCGCAGGACATTTGTTCACAGATCTTTGCTGAAAGGATGCCTGTGATCTGTAAAGGAAGGAGGATGAGGTCCCTGTCCATTGCAACCTGTTAGACTTGTCCTTTGCAGTCAGTGCAAAAAAAGGCAGAATCTTGTGATTCCCTTGCTTACAGGTGTCCAGTTAGCTGCTTTACTATGCAGAGGAAACCCCAATTTAAAAAAAAAAAAAAAAAACAAAACAGAAAAACATCACAATGGTTTAAAAAAAAAAAACAAACAAAAAACCAAAAAAGCAGCAAAGCAGTTAAGGTTTCCATTCAAAACAGAAAAACATCACAGTGGTTTAAAAAAAAAAAACAAACAAAAAAAACCAAAAAAAACCCAAAAAAGCAGCAAAGCAGTTAAGGTTTCCATTACTCCTACCTGCCCTGCTCCAAATCCACCGCATTAATCCAGGCTGAAACAATTTCTTTAGAGCTGTAAATTCAACCCATTAACAAAATCCTGCCTTATTTTGGTTTGGGGACAAGAGAAAGAAGGGAGCAGAAGCAGCAATCTCAGGTTTCGACAGGAAATTGACAGATATTTCCCCTCTCTAAAGCTATTTACAGAACAGTTTCACAAAAATGCTCAGTCTTAAACATCTGCTTAAAAGCAATTTCAGCTTCCATAGCAAAAGTAGTTTCAGCTCCCTCACTTTCAGGGCTAAGAAGCGATACCATAACTAAAACAAGTGCAGAACACCAAGACAGTGAAACCACTGCTTAGTTGAACAATTTCAGCAGTGTACACCTTTTAGGGAAAGTAAAAATAAAAAAGTAGTTCCTTTTAGAGCAGTGAAATTGATTTGGCCAAGACAGAGAGAAGTATTCAGTTCTGGCTCTGCACTACAAGAATCATTAATGATTCCCCAGTAGATTAGTTAAATCCAGACCCAAACCTGTTGCAGAGCAAATACGATCTGTAGCCAAAAAAGCATCCTGCACAACTCAAACTTCCAAGTTTATGGGGCAAGACTGACAGAAAAGGAAACTTTACTTACTAACTAAGCCCATTAATTTTGGAAATAAGTGATGTGCCTTATCTTTCCCTCAAAATCTCTCACTAATGAAACAAAGGCGTTGGTTACTATTTAACTGGAAAGTTCCCTTAGTCTTATCTGCTTCACATAAGAAACCTGAAGTTTTTCAGGTTACCATGGTCTTTTTGATAGTAGAGAGAGAGTAAAGCACAGTCCCATAATTACTGAATGTTCTGTATTATGAAGGGGATTTAAGGGAATAAGCATAGCATAAGGCCCATTGTAAGTCACTCTCTTTCTCTTTACTTTTAAAAACAGATTTTCTACCCAGTAAAAGGAGGTCCCAGCAGCTCCTTGCTTTCTAGAGATTCCAGAAGGAAGTCAGGCCTCTGTGATGGTAACCTTGCTTGTTGAATAGCATTTCTGAAAAGAACAAAACAGAACCAATGATGTCCCAGACCCATGATTATTTTCAGTTGCCATAAGCTGGCATTGCAGCTAAAGAAACAGTCCTGCTCCATCATTCATCCCTGCTCTGCAACATTCCCCTTGCATGCAATGATAATTTTTAAAGATTAAATTTTGACCTGTATTAATGTCACAATCTGGTTCCCCATATGAATGATTGTGCTAAAATGAGGAGTGGTGGAAGGGACAGAACTGAACAAGACAGAACTACTTCTTTTGGCAGCATATGCTAGCGTAAAGAAATGTGAAGCTGTCGCCTTATTTCCCTGTAAGACTCCTGTCCTGGACTGAGAAGCTTCATGGAAGATTCTTCCTTGCAATTGCCCCATGATCAGTAAGAATTTTTTAAGGAATAGCTTCCCTGAGGGAAAGAAAGGGGCAAGAAGAAAGCTCAGTGTCTACACAGCCAGGATCTTGATGTTTATAATTTCATCAGACCCTATATATGACTTCAGTGAAAAAAGAAGAGCTTCAGGGACAGCTGTAGGTCACCTAGGCAAGATAAGCTCTCATGATGGTAAAACCAAACAAATCTTTCAAATGTTTCTCTGTGTAACTGTTCCTGTGACAAATGACTACGTTTATGCAAAACGACATATATGCCAGAGAAACACAGGAGGGACTAGAACTTTACACTCACAGATGACTGAGAACCGAGTCCCCATCAGCAAGGTGAAATGGTAGATGACTGCATTTTGAAGGCCATGGCTCTTCCTCTGATGAATGTCCTCTTGTCTCAGGGCTAACATCAGGCATTTTAAATGTCACTTGCTTCTTCAGAGGTGGCAGAAAAGAACAAGGCTTATTTAACTTCTTGGAGAGAGCCTTCTGTTTCCACAGCATGGCACAACGATACACTGACTGGTGAAGGTTGTAGGCTGCCTGCCAACACAAAGAATAGCAGAGCATTTGATGGCTGAAAGTAGGAATCAACAGCACGCCACCCAGGGAAAAGAAAGGAACTGAGATTTCTGATGACCTCACAGCCATACCAGCTCTCTAAGCTAAATTAGCAGGTCCACTGTGGTAACATTTGGGTAAAGAGAATTAGCTGGGTACTTCTGCAAGAAGGCAGGCTGCACATTAGCAAATGGAAGAACTTGTGTCTTGAAAACCTGGAAAAGAGCTGGGAAAGCTGCCCAGGAACAGGAAGAGAGCAATCAATACAGGCATCCCTAGCTTCCTTTCCACACACAGGGCTGGGCTGATACTCTGGGCAGAAGTGGCACTAGCCCATATTTGAAGGTGTAAGTAGTGCTAAAGCTAAGACAGGATTAAATGCAGCCTCTAATTCTTCATTCTAGCACAGAATTTAAAGCCCAGACTCTACCCACAGGCAAAGGTTTCATCCAGCTCTACCGTCTTTGGTAGTAATTGGCCAGTTTTGAAATAGCTTCATTAAGAAAGGTTCCCAATTAGCAACACAAGTCTGAAGTGCTCTAGTCTCAGCTGACTGAAAGGACAGGGTGTTTTGCTTTGAACCACAGGCAAAAGCGTATGTCAGATCCAAACGAAAGCAGAGACTCAGGGCTCCACAGAGAGTAGATCAGAGCAGACCAGTCCTGGATGTATCTGAGCAATCACTTGTCTCACCTTCAGCTGGCGCTGGGCTTGGAGCTGATCCCCCAACTGTTTCATGCCAGTGGTGTATCTCAAGACCTGGGTTACACCTTCTCTCAGAACAGCAGTGTCGTAAGCTCCTGTGGCTTTTTCAATGCAATCTTTCTTCTGCTGTTGCCCCTTGGCAAATCTGAGCCAAGCATCAAATACCTACAACGTGAACAGCAGATAGCTTCAAGTGTTACAAAGACAGATTCCGGGCCAGAGACTCCCCCTACAGAAAGGAACACTTTCCTTTCCACTAGAGAGCGATAGGCAGAGCTACAGCATCAGCAGGACACTACCACAAGGACAAAGGGACAGGGATTTAAGTCAGCTGAGGCTGGATGGGGAAAAACATGGGCAAATTTTTTTTAATCTGGTAAGAGGATTTAGGAACAGTTTTCCAGCATCCTAAAATAACATCTAGCACCCCAAAGATGAAAGGAAACAGATATTCAATGTGCACTCTGCTGATTGCAGTAAAATCTGCACATCTGCAAATTCACTTGTCTGCCCCTGACCCCCACACACTCTTACCTTCCTCTGCAATGAAAGGGACCAGTGCCACAATGCTTGCACCGTCTTCCGCTTTTCCCATTGCTGCTGCAACAGCTATAGGGAAAAAAATTGCACAGCAACCATGTTAGAAGTTTACATGTGCCAGACACCAGAAATGCTAGCCAGAGCATGAACCAAACACAAAGTGCTGGTGGAGCCATAGCAGAATAACCTACTCAGTTCACCCAGCATATGGCAAGGTGTCTGTTGTGCTAGTCGAAGCAAAATCCAGAAGATGTTTAAACAATTTTTTTTGCCCTCATGTGTAAATGGAATACAAAGGAGAAGAAAGGATAAGGATCAGCAAGGAGCTAAGTAATATTGTCCCAGGGGACAATTCCTTACCCGTGTCTTCCAGCAAGAGAAGGAAGCAGAGCAAAGTCTATGAGTCATTAGCTTATCTCCCTGTCTCTGCAGCAGCTGTAAGGCAATCAAAACAGTGAGTCACTTGCAGACAAACCCCACTTATCAGAGCTAGAGCAGAACAGGTACCAAACAGCCTTTATCATCCTCCCTTTGTCCTGCTGAGGCCACCCTCAATATCTAAGTGCCCTACAGTGTAACCCCATTTGCAAATATCTATGTGCCCAGCAAGGATTTCATTAACGGTAAATGATCCCACACATGGGAAGTCCAGCTTGTCATTTCTTGTTAAGTCTATTAGCTCTATCACAGCTTCTTCAGGCATGTTCCTTCCTCCTCAGTGCACAAGGCTGTCATTCTCCTCCTCAGCCAAGACTACCATTCCCTTCACCTGCTCCTCCACACCCACAACTTCCCACCCTGGGTCACTGGCTGGGGAGGTGGCTGATCCTTCTCACCATTTTCCCAAGGCATTGCTGATGATACTTCTTCCATTTCACCAGGTACTTCTGGAGTAGGTGCTGCTGGTGGTGCTGTACTGCCCTATGCTGCTGAGCCCTCAGCATCAGAGACTCCCTAGTTAACTCCTTCCAGTGAAGAAATAGGGTCTGTAAATGCACTGTTAAGAGAAGATAAGTTAGTTAATATACCAAAAGAATACTATCAATCTCAGAGAGTACCAAGTGATCAGCTACTCTTCCAGACTGTTCTAGCAATATTTAACATCAACAATACTCAGCACTAGGAAGATCATAAAATACTTCAGGTAACGGACAGCGAGCTGTGACTTGCAAGTCCTCCCTGCTGCCATCGACATTCTTTATAATCTTTAGGAAATTATTTGACCTCTTTGTGCTCCAGAGTCCTCATGTCAAGAACGTGGCTGGTACCATGAAAAATGCTTGCAGAGTTTGAGGGCCTTTCTGTATTAATTTCTAGAGAAAGACTGAAGCAGTAATTAATAAGATTACTTGTACTGCCCTTAAAACAGAGATGTCTCAGCTTCTCAAAATTAGTAATGGAAAATTCCTTTGAGGAAGGAAGTGTTGCCATCCCTCATATAGACAAGGAACCAATAGAGAAGCGCAAGTCACAAAAGAAGCCTTCAACGGATCACTGGTCCCAAGTCACTCCCTGTTCTATGGGGACATCCCTTGTAGGCTTAATAGACCATCCAGTCATTTCATCTGTAAAGATGACACAAAAGACTGGCCTACTAAGCCACCTCTTTCTAAGGATCGTACATAGATAGCCAAGTCTTTTGAGAGTTTAATTATCTCCATCAGCTCACCTATATCCAAATGTTTTCTGGCCTCCATCACAGCTGTCATCTTCTGCTGACGGTAACACACTTGCAGCGAGGCAGTGTATCTCCACTGCAGCAACACCTGAAGACATAACGCAAATAAGAGACAATACAGAGTGACACTGCAATGTTCTTTGGGAGGGGAAGCAATGTACTCCACATTGCTGGCACCATAACCATTTCCATCTCATTTTTCACATGAGGCTCAGCAAGACAGTGCAAATTTCCTACAAATTAAATGCAGCAATGCATTTAATTTTTCAGAGCATCCCCCTGGAGTTTTTCAAGGCATTGTTCTTTTCTGTCCCTCCATCCACCTGCCTGTCTCCCCCTCCCAGGTAATACTACTATGCTGTATCACACTACTGGTTTTCCCCTCCTTCTAAGAAATGGGAAGAAAGAAAGAAAGGAAGAGGAAAACCCATGAGCTCAGAGACAACAGTTTCAGAGATGCGCGTAAAAATAAGATGGGACTCCCACTTGTTAGACCTTTCTTAGTAGTGACTGTTAGATGAAATTTTTGGTCCTTATAATTGCACTACCTGACCCCTGCCGGGGGGTCAACTTAGACCTTGGTATCTGCTATACAGACCTTACCTTTGACAGGATTGCTCTCCTGTAGTGCTCATCTGCCTGAGTAGTTGCCTTAGCTTCATGTATAAGAGCAAGAGCATTTTCTCTCCACGTACACAGAAGCTGTCTGAAGGCAAAACGTAGAAAAAAATTTAAAACAAACAAAACCCATTAAGAATGATTCTCACTTGTTCATTTGGTACCTTCTCACTCGCATGGGAACCAAAACCAGCTGCCTCTGTAAACTCAGTCTTACAAATCAACTTCTGCCCCTTCAGGTCTCTGCTGAAGAGAAGGTAATGCAAAAACAGAACACAGCCTTAAACGTAGCATCTTAAGCTGAGTCAGTCAGGCTCTGCAAGAGACTTGGGTTGTATAGCACTAAAAAGAAATGAGGTAGTTAAAACTAAAGCAACTACAACCAATACGAAGTGATATTATCTTTAATTGCTCTCCTCACTATAATGCAAGACAGCCTCTACACCTTCACAGCTGCTTTAATATCACAGCAGTCAGAATCCATGCACTGCAGGGAATGATACAATTTGTTGCCTGCTGTCTCTCATGGAACTAAAGACAGATTTTTAAAAAAGTTAAAGCAAACCAGATGGGAATCCAGAAAGAGGTTGACTTCTTTTAGGCAGATGACCCACACAAAAACAACAATGTACAGAGTCAATTCCCAGCACTTAATACTCAAAAATTTACAATGGTGGCAGTGAAAGAAAAAGAGTAATTTGACTGCAGTGCAGTCACTTCTCTCTCAGGCTTTACAAGGAAACACAGGCTTACCGAAGCAGTAGTCTAGTGTGCTGTTTCTCCTTTTCAGCTACCTGGTATAGAATGCACTGTATGTTATGTTGGTAACTCTGCAAGAAAAGCAGTGAGAGGTAAAATTTTCCCCAACTGCAAACATCTCTGAGAAGAGAAGAAATCTAGAAACTCTTAGTAGCAGCTTAGTAGAGTAGCAGCAGCAGTAGAGTACAGGGAAAAAAAAATTAGGTTACAGCCACTGAAATCAAATGCTGTTTTTCCGAGAGGAACAGTCGTTACACTCTAGCTAATGCTATTACATACTCTTCACCAAAGCCACAAGATCACATTGGTTCTTTCTCTACAAAAAGCAATGGTAGAGAGTATACAATCATGCAATAGCCTCCATTCTACCTTGCACACTTGGTATGTAAGTGCCTGGAGAGAAACAGCGTGACAGCTCTTCAGTTCTCACTGAAACACTTAAGCACACACAGACAAGTCCCACAGACAAAAGGACATTCCCTCCTACCTTCCAGGCTGCCAAGGTCTTGCCCAGTAATTTGTGCCGATAATGCATGTCTGCTTGCACCAGCTTCCTCCATTTCTCATGTTGATGTCCCACATACTACAAGGAGATTGGGAAGGGGAAGAAAAAAAAGGATATGTACACATGATGGAGGGAAAACAAGCAATGGCAGAGAGCAGAGGGAAAAGGACCATTCCCAGTCTCTGGGGGAAACATCAGTCCTTTATCTTGCTAGAATAGGTTCTCATTCAAACTGGTACTACACTCTACCATTCCTCCAAAAAGCCTATTTGAGGGGTTATTTTCTCTGCCCTTTTTAGGAATCCTCTTGAAGACTGATGCAATTCACTCAAGTTAACAGTTCTGGACCAACAGACTAGCGTCAACTCCAAAATTTCTCGTAGATTCTCGAGACATGCTGCAAGGCATATTTGGTACCTCCCATCATGGTACGGAAAAGGCCCAGCATAAAAGTGAAGTGCCATCTGACAGGACCTGCTATGACCTGGACACAACTACAGACTGTACAGCATGGCCTTGCTGCAAACTTCTAATTAAAGTTTTGAGAAAGACATACACAGTACTGGCAAAGGGACGATTTCATCACACTACCTCTGGTTACATTCCCAGATTAATCTCCTAACTATGGGCCCATTCTCATTATACCTAAAAAAATGAACAAGAAGTCAAAGAACTCCCCCTCCTCCCTACATAATTCCTGTTCCACCCACACTAAACTGGTTTTATTCACCTGGGAAGTGAGGGGAGCTTAGGAACAACTGGTGTTTAAAATAAACAACTTAATTTCTAGCCATATGGGTAAAAGCAATCTGAACATAACAAAAAGAATTTAAGCCCTTCCCCATCTGTTAACTCTCTCACCTCCCTCCACTTGTTCCAAGCCTGCTGCAGACACTTTGAATAGTGGAATCTTAAGGCTTGCATCTCCTTGAGCCTCCTATAAGAAAAATAATTTAATTTTTTCTCGTACAGTGCAATCCATGTTACTGAACCCCTCTAGCCCAGGCATGCATCCACATTCGCTATTTTCAGTAAGTAATTTATCGAGTGAAAGACAAACCAGCAGATTTCTAAAGCACAAAAAGTCAGAATCATTGTGAATTAAATGCTGCTTTGTCAAAAGTAGGCCACCACAGGGCCAATCCAAATAATTGTCCCTTTTAAAAAAAGGGACTCACTCTGTTTTTCTCTCCTGAGTATTTTGCTTCCACAGACAGAAAGCCTTTAGCAGGAGCAGGTTACTGTAGTGGTCTCTTGCACGAACCAAGCTCTCTTGCTCCTCCAAACGTGCAGCTGTTCTTCTACACCAGAAGCACCAGAAACAACGCAAAAGTTGCCTTTCAAAATGAAGCACAGCCTGTAATGGAAAGAAGGTGGCAATGAATTCACGGTACAGGCCAGTTACAAACACAGAAGACAATTCCTTAAAGGTGACATGCACAGAGCTGTCCAATGTTTGTTTTCCTCTTCTCACATTGAACAGCAATGGACACGTCATCAAAGCCCCTTTGCTGCTGGTTTATGTGAACATGTTCTACAGATACCTATATGCATGTAGATGGAGAAACCGTTATCAGAAAACAGCAGGCCAAAGAGAGGAAAAATACAAGCTGATAAGTAGCATGTGAAAGACTCCCAAAAGCTCCAGAAACCAGTCCTGTTGAATTTGCAAGAACTGATAAACTCAGAACACCAAGAGTCAGCCGTATCTGCACAAGGCCACCCACACACGCTACCGTCAACTATGACTTGTGTAACTCAGACCACCTAAAAGAAGGCAGTGGATGATATATATTAAGGCTACAGGATTATATACACATCTTGGGAAATGAAGGACCCCCTAAGGGATTTCTGGATGCCTGCCAAGCAGCAACTAGCTTGTCAGTACAACCCTGCACTTCTGAAATAGGTTGGGGTTGGCCCTTTATTACTCTTATTGTTTCAACCAGGTAACTATGAAACAGAGCGAGTGCGAGAGAGAGGGAGCACACACATAGTTACTGGGTGAGGGAATAAGCGAATGAACTGTGTGAATAGTTATCCTCTAATAATAACAGCTTGATTCTATTATTAATAAACAGCTTAACTTAAAAAATGTGATTAGTAAACATTGGTTGTAATCTGTTTCCCCTGACTTGATCCCTCATCAGGTAAAAGGGAATTTACAACACCCAATTAAGTCCAACTCATGCTAACTGACGTTTGCAGACAGTGATTATGAAATCATCCCCTCTATTTCCTAAGCAAGGCCAGGTAGAAGAGTTACATTTACCCTCTGCTCTCCCATTCGGTATTCTTGCTGCTTGCACGCCTTCAGCAACCATGTGTCAAATACCTGTCTCATCAACACCCTCCTGCAAGCAAAAAGGGAGAATGTCAGCGCAGGAGAGAAATCTTACCCAGAATACATGAGGTAAGACTAATGAATTTTCTGAAGCTATTAGAACTCCCTGTTTTCATTCAGATCATTCAAAAGATTGTTCCGACTTCTGACCAAGTAATTTATTTTATTTATAAACACATACACACACACAAATTATATAGTAACCTTTCATTTCTTATCCACTCCATTCGATTCCCTCCTCCCTTGGAAAGATTTCAAAAATCCTACTCTACTTTTTCACTTAAAAACAACAAAAAAACCCCAAACCCAACCCAACCAACCATAATAGGACTTGAAAAAAGTTATAACAACAAATAATAGAGAGCAGCGTGGCCTGATCTCAACACAGAAGGGATTCTACCAGAGCCTTCTTTTATGAACAAGGTCAGGTTAGTTGCCCTCATTAGCAAAGCTTCTTTCTCTCCAGATAAAGATAATACTTGCTAGGTCTCCTCCCCAGGGATGCACAAGTCTCATTATCAACTAGTATCCTAAAAATGCAATTAATATGTAGTTGTGATTGAGTGCTATACACCTCTCACACAAAACAAGCATACAGTAGAAGCATCTTAGTCCAGAATTCTGAGCTACAGCCTAGTGCAAATAGCATCCAGTTCAAATTACATCAGTTATTTTCATAACTCAGTCATGTGGCTCCATGTATTAGACTGTCAGCGAGTCCCAGTTCTTCTCTGGTCTAAAGAAGACTATAAGAGATTTTGGATTTTTACCAGATAATTTTTAGTAAGTAGCTATTACAGCTCATTACAAGTTTATAGGTTGGTAAACAACATGAGTTAAGTCTTCGTGGAGGGTACTGGTAGTTGTCAGCAAGAGTCTTTGCTCTGTAGACAGTCACAAATCTCAACTGATGGCCCTTCTGAGGTATCTCCTGGGTCTTACTACCAGACACAGCAGCGGGGGCACTGACTTGTCCGATGGCATATATGTGCATCAGAGACCAACAGGGAAGCTGAGCTCTGGCAAGCTGCCATGGAAGTTTTCACCCTTTCAACTTCATGACAAACGTGTAATCCCCACCAAACTCCACAGGTCAAATTTAAAAGCCTTCTGGCTGCTTTGTTAATGTTGACTTATTCCTAGGACTAAATACATTTAGCTTCTACAAAAAAGCCTTACCTTCACTCAGAGTACCTCTAGCAGCAGAGGTAGCATACGTGAGCCATCAACCCCCCCTCACTCCTCCTCAGGGTAAAGCAGTAGCAAGCATTTGGAGCTTTGTCCATGCTCATGCTGCAACCTACTGCTCTTACCAGTAAAATGTCCAGCTTTTAAATCTAAACAAGCTTCAGAGCAAGGCTTCATCAATCTCCCTCTCACATTTCACAGACAAGCAGATGTAAATTGTCCATTACTCATGGAAAATGTAAGAGGCATCAGGATGGTCATGCTACCAAAGGTATTACCAGATTTTAAGAGAGAACCAAAGGCCCACAAATGCCACACTTGTACAATTTTATATTAATATCAGTCTTCATACCTGTAACGGGCATGAGCCACTGATGTTAAGGCCTGGTGCTGTTCTTCCTCCTTCTCTTCCAAACGGGACTTCCAACGGTTCCAGAACTTCTGAAGCACCTGACATAAAGCAACAAAGACATAAAAAGCCATAGGTATTGAGGGCGGAGAACAACACAAAGAAAGGAATTAAGTGTCCTACTGAAACTGCATGCTGCAATGGTTGCCTTCTGCACTGCTTCATATATCAAACTTGTTTTATAACCTGCTATGAATTTTTCTGGTAAAACAAAAAGTCACTGGAAACATAGGAAAACAGAAAACTAAAATAACTTATCTAAGACTGACAGTTGACTTACACAGGAGATTTTCTGTGGCTATTGGTATTTAGGAACAAAGCCACTGATTTAATAACAAAGTATTTTGTAGGTGAAAGTGGAAGCCAATAGGACAGCTTAAGAAAAACTAACACAAGAACAAAACAAAAAAAGTCAAACTCACTGTAACTTGATACTGACGGTATGACAGATTTTTTCTCATTTGCTGAAGATGAGTGTTCACGACATTCTGCCAAAGACCCTTAAACCCAAGTTTCTGTAACAAGAAGAAACGTACACAACTTTCATGTAATCCAAATCAGCAAGCACTGATAAGTTTAGAACTGGCTGCTCCTTACAGACAATCTATGTTTGATGGTATCCTTGCAATAGCTAAGATTTATGAACTTGTCAAAACCATGCATCAATTTCCTCTCACAAACTGTCACTTCTCCAGCTAAACTGAAAATCCCTTCCACTTTCCCAGGGTTTTACTGCGAAACATTTAACTCTTTTTTTTCAGCTATCAACACCACTACCCAAGTCCTTTCCCAATCTATCTCCTAGTTCAGTTCAAGACACTTAACTTGCTCCTTATCAAAACCAGAAATGATCCACTTCCCTTCTAGGTCTCCTCTGCACACAGTTTTTTAGTCTACAATCCCAAGATACCTCAATTCAGGGATGAACATGGTAAATAGCATTATGAGACCATCCTTCCTTGAAGTGCTCTTATAGTCACTAATGTTTTCAATCTATGATCCAAACAGATTTATTGCCATTCTTTTTATGATAAGTACTGATCCACACTTGAAAATAATTCAGTTCCAAAAAAGCTAGAGGCTTGCTTGTGCCCACCTTTCAGTGTTCAAGGATTTCTCTCTTAAAACAAACCAACAAACAAAAAAACCCAAACCCCAAACAAACCCAAAACCACTTAACTACCTACATGTGCAATAACCTGTCTTTGGAGTCATGTGAGAAGAAGCATGCATGCATTACTACAGAGAGGAAAAAAAAATCCTTGTAGAAAACCAGTGTAAGCAGATAGAAACATTTGGGGTAGAGGTGAGGGGAGGGAAAAAAAAAAAAAAAAAAAAAAGGGGAAAAAGAGGGGAGGGGGGGGAAAAAAAAAAAAAAAAAAAAAATCGGGGAAAATGCAATCTCATGGTGAAACGTCCAGCGAGCATGGTAACCCAATACCATCAAGATTAATCTGCTACTACACCAGTTTCCCAATTGAAGCACAACTATTTTGGAGAGCAGCACAGTTTCCCCATTTGGATTCAACTAGCAGATTCCAGGATAGTTGGAATTTAGAAACTTGATGCCCAATCCAAACTCACCATGGCAGATGATCATGCACCCCACCACTTAACACCCACACACCACTGTTAGTATTAAAGGCACACCACCAGTCAAAATACTCAAATTCTCTCCACAGGCTCTTCCACCTGATGCATAACAGTGCTCTTACCAACAGATGATGCTTGTAGTGGTTTTCAGCCAGCTCACACTGTTGAGTCTCTTCCACACACAGTACAACATCTGTCACTGAGTTAAAGTACCTTTTACACAGAAACATCCATCCTGATATATATGAAACCTTCTCCCACAGAGGGGCACTAGATGTCCATCTAAATTTACTTCAATTTTTGAATTTCCAGCACTGTTACCTGCGCAAGTATTGATTACAGTCAAGTTTTTAGATTTTGCTGGCTTATCACAATACATTTCTGTTTCGCTGTTACATAAGGAATTCCTCCCCAACCTTAAATTTATCTTCTGCAGGCTCTTAGCTGTCAACAGGCTAATATACTGTAATTGCAACAGTTTTATTAATTGTTAGTACAGCCTTACATACACCTTTCTAATGATAACATGTTTGCTGTCACCCCCACTACTGCACAACACTTCTGCTTAACCCAATCTTTCTTTTAACCTGTCCCTGCTAGGCACTAAGCACAGAGTGGATACAATGCTTCCAGTGCGCAAAGACTCTCCACAAGGCAATCCTTGCTCCTAGTTTTTCAATGTCCTTTTGGTGAGCATGCATTCTTCTCCTGCACTCCCATGACAGCCGCCAGTCAGAGAAACACTGCCGGACCATCCTGCTTCGGTGATGCTCTTGGGCCAGCTCTAGAAAACAAACACACAAATTACTCATGACTTGCTCTGTCCTGGGCTCACTTATATCAGATGAGGCCATGACATTTAAGCCACTGGTTCGGAAGTGACAGAAGCCCTAACACTGAAAAATGGTGGTAAGAATTCACAGTATCGCTCAGCTGTAGACTATATTCTTCCTATTGATCACAAGCAGTAACATACTGTACTGACTCAAGAAGAGGAAGTTAAGACACTGTGTCACTTGTTCAACATACACAAGCTTGCTTACATCTCAGCATACTCCTATTACTAGTTCCTAGGCATCCCAGCTGGATTCTTTTCCACTACAACTGATCAATAGGCAATTCACTCAAATGTCTGAACTCACTCCAGTGACTTCAAGGGAAGAAACAAAAGAACTGGTGTAATCATCTTTACCATCCTGTATGAGCTGTGATTTGTCTGATTATCAAGAAAATCCACACACAGATTTACTGATAACAGTCCCGAATATATCCTTCTCACAGATATCTCAGTCAGAATACAATATGCAATGTACAAGTTTTCAACAAGGGAACTGTAAAGCATTTTCTTTTAAATCGCACGGGAAGCAGGTGATCTTCCTGACAGTTCAGTATATAATCTTAGCTAGCCAGACCTGTAACAGTGTACAGGTCAAGCTGCATCTCATCATCTGTTGAGCAAGCAGAAACAATGCAGTGTCTCCTAGAACAGAAAAAAACATCACTAGGCCCTAAGCAAAGGGGCTGAGCCCTGTTCTGTCCTAACTCACTATTTTCACTCACCATTCTGAAGTTTCTTTGCTCTGTGGAGGTTTAAGTATCCCAGCCATGCTTCCAGGCATCTCTTCAATTCCCAGTGCTGATGGTGAGTTACTGCCCTAGTCTCCTTCTGCTTGTCATTCTGGCTGTATAAATACAGCTCTCGCCACTGCAACCAAGCCTGAGAGAACAATTAAGGAGGGAGGGCAGTAAGGGGGAAAAAAAATCAGACAAGATTAGGGAAGTAGGACAAAGAGAAGAGGAAGAACAAAAAGGCAATAGGAAATTCCATGTAAGATCTAAAGGTGAAAGCCAGGAGCAAGGAGGTTCCTCCCCACAAGGGGGGGAAAAAAACAACAAATAAAACCAACCAACCAAATGCCAAAGGAATGTCAGCAACTAAAAGGTCAAAGACAAAGAATGTCAATATCAAACTTCTTTTTTTTCTGGCTTTTTTTTTGGTTTTTTTTTTTTTTGGGGGGGGGGGGGGGGGTTTGTTACTTTCACACTTTTTCCATTAAAAGGCCAAAATGATACTTTTGGGACAACAGGCTTTCTTTCAGACAGTGTATTTTCACATAAAAGAGAATCACATCTTGAGACATGGCAAGGATTTCCCAAGTCACGAGTTTATCTCCTTAGACTACCAGCCTCAAGACAGGCAGTGCTGCCATCTTGCAGCACAGGCCAAATTAAACACCATCACCTGTTTTTAATGAAATGGACAAAAAGTCACAGTTCCAGCAAAGGAAAGAAAACCCTGCTGCTTTCACTTCAGCTAAGATGAACAATTTACCCAAGGAGCTGACAACCTCTCAAGAGTATGAAATGCTGGATTGTATCTTCTTACCCCAAAATGGAGTTAAACATGCTCACAGAAATTCATTAGGACATAAGAAATGTTGTCTTACAAAGAGGCGAGGTGCTGTCAAACAGCTGACCAGCGCTACCTCGCTTCCTAATGGGATAGTGGATTGGACCTCTGTGGCATTCGGCATTCTAGAGAGCTGGATGCAACTACCCTTCATAGCCTGCTCAAAACGCCACAGCTGCAAACTCACACACGTCTTTTCTTTTACCTCTGGCTAGTTTCTCTGGTGGAGAGAACTCTGATACTTTCACTATCATCAAGCACTGTATAAGACAGTAATAATTCATTTGGACATTCTACTTTCTAGCGAACACAAGACATGGGTCCAGTTTGTTTTGTCTAGATCTCTTGTAAACAATTTTTTCTTGTAAAAAAAGATGTTTTGACCTTCTTCATAGAATCATAGAATATCTCAAGTTAGAAGAGATCCAATAAGCATCACTGAGTCTAACTTCCTGCTCCTCACAGGACTCCTTAAAACTAAATCATAGGACTAAGAGCATTGTCCAGATGCTCCTTGAACTCTGGCAGGCTTGGTGCCATGACCACTTCCCTGGGGAGCCTGTTCCCGTGACCGACCACCCTCCTAGTGAAGAACCTTTTCCTAATGTCCAATCTGAACTTGCCCTGACACCATTTCATTCCATTTTCTCATGTCCTAATATGTTCTTCCATCATAAGCACTGCAATTTGCAAGGCAAATGAGTATAAGGCCTATTTTTTATTAATCTGCAACATTAGTCACACGTGCACGCAACTTAAACATTAGAAATGGTAGTAGCTAAAGCTCCTGGGACTTACTCGAAATTGCAGGCTCTGGGCCCAATGCTGCAGAGCCAAAATATTCATTTTATGTCCAGTGTAGTTCTGGTAGTGTCGTCTTCTCCACACTGCCCACGATATGCTGTCAAAACAATGTTACAGACACGTTCAAATGCAGATTCCATAGTTTGGTGCAAGAAGTCACCTTCCTCTCACTGGAAAAAGGTATAAATAACAATCTTTTAAATTCAGCCTGTGGGCACACCAGAAGAATTCAGACACACACACCCAAAAAAGAAAGAAAGAAAAAAAAAATCAAATATAGAGCAAAGTCACTGCAGGAAAGGTAACAGAACAGAGGTAAAAACCACAGCCTTATGGTTAGTGCCTCTCTGCCTGTTTCCAGTCCATTCTTACCGTAAACAGCTTCTTTCCCTGAATGCCAGTGCCACAGACTGCATCCCATGTTTTGTCCTCTGAACATCAACATAAAGCAGCCAGCGCTGCCAGGTCCTGAGCAATTTTTGTTTATCTGCTGTGGACAACAGAAAAGTTACAGCATCTTAAGTTCATGCAAGAATCTGGCATTTTTTAACCACTCTGTAACACCACTTGTCCCCGAACCTCCAGTCCCCTCAACCCGCAGTGACACCTCGTGGGAAACCCTGAAACAACAGCCACCAGAGCCTCAGCTGCGACCATCCACCCTGGCTGAGGGTGTCACACTGACAACAATCTCTGAAACGCTGACAGCATTATACCACTTGTTCAGAGCAGCGTGAATTATCAGACAATGGCATTGCTTTGTCTTCAGTGCTTACAGGGTATATAATTGTACAACAATATTCAGTGTAACAATTTTATTGGGCAGGAATTACAGGATTTTCTTTGGTTCGTTTTTTTTTTTTAAAAATAGTTCATCAGGTTCATCAGCAGCTTTTCAAGAGTTACCCTCTATTACAAGCAGAGAAATCAACCAGAAACAAGTCAAGTTTATTTAGCAGACTGGTCAGGCAGCTAAAAACAGAAGTGGCATCACAAATTCCAGTTTACTACTTTATGCAGTGCACTGCACTTTCTCCTCACAATGGTCCAGCTTGTCAGAACTGACACTATTGAAGCAAAGTTACTAGAAAAAACATCATTGATTTTATGCCACTTCACAATTACACTTACAAAAACACCACACTTTTTTTTTTTTTTTTTTTTTTTCAAGATTTCCTTGTGATCTGGTGAATCAAGTATTAACCTACCTTAAAACAGGTCATTTTTCTATCTTTTTGACTAAGTAACACGCATCTGCTTCTGTTAAGTACTCTGGCCTCACTCAGCAAGAAAGGAAATCTCGATAACCTATCAGTTCCTTTCCAAAGGTGCCAGTCCGTGTAATATTCTGAGGCTACATTCATACGCAAAGAGACCCAGTTAACTTATTTTGCAAATCAGCAGACAACAAAACCACAGCATCATCTTTAAAAGAGGGCCATCCTCCCCTTCAGGGAAACAGATATTCCCTGAAACCAAAGGAAGTTGCAACCAATGTAGGCAACTTCATCAGTAGGACAAATCCATTGCAGAAGGTAGAATCTACATGATAAGACAAGGGGCACTTCAAAAGCCTGGGCTTCTTTTCAAGCGCAAGACACAAGCTGGAAGGAATAGTGAATACAAATAAAACATGTGCAGTTAATACCACAGGGAATTATTGTCTAATTTCTATAGCCACAGTTGATAGAGAATTCCAATAACACATTCTATCAAAAAATATCTATTTGAACACTACTTGATAAAGTAAAAAACAAACAAAAAAAACCCCAAACCCAACCAAACCACTCACACACCCCCTCCAAAACAAATAACACAATCCAGAGCAGATGGAGAGGCCCTTAAGCTTATTCACTGGCATCCCTAAAGAACTATATAGCTACACAGTAGTGCATCAAACAGAACCCCCCTGCCAGCTTTAGACAGACAACCATCTGTACCTAAAAGCATTACACTTCCATGGGGTGGGGGAGGTCAATGTGCAAACATGTACAAGGGACAAAGGCTCTGTGTAAATACTTCCCTTGGAAACTCCCATCTTTGTATGTCCCCAAATAAAGGTAGTTACCATCGCTTCACTTACCATGAGACTCTGCAACATAGCATTTGTTCCTCTTTCTTTGCTGCTGGCATACATAGGCTCTCCACGCCCTGAATATGAATTTATGGAGTAAATGCCTGAAAAATGAAAAATTCACTGTTCAATGAAATAGCTACCAATGCCTAGAAGTAGGATTCTTTCAGTTGCACTCTAAAGAGATGTTGGATAGGAAACTTTGACTTCATCCTAAGACAACAGCAACAAAAGAAAAAAAAAAAAGAGGGGAAGAAAAATATGAAAATAAGCAATGAAGACATTGCTCTTGGCCTAGAGGTACTGTTGATGTAACTTGCTTACTAGTATTAATAAATCCTTCAGAACCTAAGGAAAATGTCTCATACTGCTCTATACACACAAAAATAGCAAGTCATTTCACAAACCTGTAATGGCTGTCTGCTCTGAGGCTGAGCTTCCTTTCTCTGCAAACAGTCCACCACTCCTTCCATTCTCCAAAAGTTTTTTGAAGAATCTTCTGGTCATGAAAGCATCTAAACAGTTGAAAGATTTGGACATGAGAAACTTCGAACAGGTTTCCAGGTTGACCACAATCAGTTTTAATGAAGATTATGCTACCTCTTTTCCAGTCTCATCTGATTAAGCTAACAGCATCTAATTGCATTTAAAAAAATGCTACCCTACTGTGACACTTTATTCCAAGACTCTGTGAAGTATGACAAGAAGCAATCAGCTTACTGACTGTAAATACTTCACATAAAGTCAAAGAAGGAAAGACAGATGTTGTTAACCGACTTGCCAAATATCAGAGTGCCAGCTTACTTTAGACCTACAAAAAACTTGCATCTTTTATCCTCAGTCTTTTACTCAAACAACCAGCACAGTTGATAAATAATTATACATGTATTTTCCTTGCTAATTTTGTTCTTTGTTATTTTAACACAAAATATTTTTATGTATAGAAATTAATACAAAAGCTACTTCAGATTTTATAATGCTTTGATATTTCCATGGTGTTCTTAGAAATAGCATGCTGATCTTGTCATCCCAAATTTAAAATCTTCCCAAAGAACACTTAAATAGGCTTAAGAACTCCTTCAGCAAGTTGCACGTCACCTGTGCTAAAAACAAAGCTGTTCATCTGCTCATGTACCTTCTCCTTCCAATGGATGCTAAGCCATGCACAAAATGGATTCACAAGTCACACATGACCTTCAAATTCTTTAACCTCAGCCTCTGCTTTTATACCCAGATTTAATTAACACACCTGACCGGGTAAGAAGTGATGCTACATTTAAACTGAATTGCAAGCAACTAAAAATTCAGATATAGGAGGGTCTGATGAGGGAATTAGGATTTTGATCACCTAACTAAAAATTATCATCATAATAGCAATACTAATTGCCATTTCAAGCAATTTTTTTTTTTTCTTTTAAAATAGTCTCTCAAATACTTGTCCATGTGGTTAAGGTGACCTGGGTAGCAGCCTAAGATCTGGAAAGTGTAATCAACTGGAGTATGAACACTTTCAAAAAATTTCTCATCTCTTCATATTTGTGACAGAGAGAAGAAAAGTATAAGGACCCATGAACACATATAAGCTAACAAACACAAAGCACGCAAGCCCAGACTCACAACCTTTGATCACAACTATCCCACTAGCTTAATGAAATCGGTCATGTCTGTAAAAAGAACAGGATTAGGCCCAGAATACCTAGAGGTCCCTCAATGAAACACATATGAATCCTCTCACAATTTGCAATTCATAGCTACCTACCCCAAGCCAAGTTGCTAAGTCATTCCAAGCACTCAAGCAGAAAAGAAATAAAAAGAAGAAAAAAGAAATGAGCTATATGTTAATTTTTTGGACTTCGTGCATTAACAGAACATTGCAAATAAAAGCTATAGAGAACTGGGGACTCTTAAATCTAAAAAGGCAATTAGTTATTGCTTATGTTCCTTGCTGAACTTTATAAAATGTATTTCCATTCATCCTCATAAATAAAAGAAAATAACCATTGTCCTAAATTTACATGCAGCCAAGGTAGCGCAAATTCAGCATCTGGAATAACAAGAATGGTAAGGTTCACTGGAGAACTTCCGTTTACCAACTAAGGCAGACATAGTCAGAATAAATTTGATACAGTACAAGGAAATTGGAGAACTAAGGGCCTGATCTTATTCTGACTGTAACAAATGCACGTCTTTCCACTGAGAACTGCTTCAGTTCCCAAGTGTGTGGTCAAACATGAATGAACATGCAAATTAAAGCAAAACAAGAACAGAGTATCAAAGTGTTGTTTCTCCATAGAACACTAACAACAGAAACGAATCATCTGCCACAGGTATTTTGGAGTCAGACAGATACAAAGCATATATAGATATACATTAAGAACAATAGGGCAAACAGTAAAATGAACTGAATTCCAAGATCTATCTCTACTTATAACTTTGAAAATTCATTAACTTTAAAGCAGGTATCCTAATCATACCCCATCATTTATATCCATGTACAGTTCAACTTTATCAAGGCAACCACAATTCCTACAAATTTAGTTAGTAAAGTTTAACCATGATTATTAAAAACAAACAAAAAGCAGGAGCAAGAAGGGCACTCAAAGGAAACCGTCAAGCGATCTCAAAAGATATTCAAATATTTTCTTGGCAGCCAGTACTCTCTTAGCCCAGTGGTATAGCACTAAACCATAAAAAGAAGAAACAAACCCACAAAAAAACCCCCACCCCTGATTTCTGTAATTGTATCTACCTGGCTTTGGAGGGGAGAACTTGTCCAAATGTCTTTTTAGCCCACAGATAGAAGAATTTCCTCGATAGATATCTGGAGTATAAAGAGAGGTTAGTTGCCTTTGTACCCTTCCTCTGTTAATTTCCACACAGCAGTAAAAAAGGAACTTTTATGTTAGCTTCAGTAATAAAACTAAGGGTGATGTTTTCAGAGATCAATGCATATACAAAATATTTACACCCTGAAATTAGTACCCTTAACAGGACTATTCATCAAGCATAAATAGAGGCCCAGGTATCACTGCAAGACTTGAATGGGGATGTATTTCTTTAGCAAACCTAGGTAGCTGAAACATCTTCCAGGGAGCCCACTTACAGCCAGCGATACTAATGAGCAGGCTGCTGATTAACTGGGGAGCCTCTTTGTGATTTAGAAGTAGTAACATCACTGTTTTCCTGAAGTCAACTGAGTCAGACTTGTTTCCAAAATATTTGAGCCAACCTGATGTTTACTCCTGCCTGAAACCAGCCCATCTTCCTTCTTCCTACCTCTCCCACAGCAGTTCTGCTTCTCAGCAAGCTTCTCCTAGTACCAGTTCAACTCGCTAATCAGTGATTGTGATACTATCACCCTTTCCCCCACTTTTTTTTCAAATGGCTTTAAGAATTAACTGGCTCACAGAGGGCCCCAATAAGCACCAAAGCCAGCACAAGGTAATTAATTAAAACACACAGCCATGAACAGGTCCTCCCTCTTTCAGCAAGTCTGAGTTGCTAGATCAGTCCCACTTGTTCGATGAATATTAGGCTTTTAATCTCTAAACAATTACCACCCCACTTTTGTCAAGATTCCTTCAACAAACAAAAGTAAAGAAACACAAGAGGAGGGCAAGACTAAATCATTACACCTGGCAGTCCCCTATAAAACCATATTGTTAAATAGCCATTTTTAAACTTTATATTAGAAAATCAAAATGTACGAAATCTGACTGTGCCAGTGCATGCCCTCAAGATACCACAAGACATCCTCAGAACTGTCTGGCATGCCCATGAATAAAACCTTTGCCTTAGCCTGCACTTGTACTACTAAAGACAGACTTCTTTAGGTCTGATCCCCCTGCTCCATTCAGTGAAAACTATGTTTTGTACTTATCACCTGATTTGGAATTCTTTTAACCTTCCTCCTTGATGCCAGGTATACCCAACTTGATCCAGATGGTCATGACCTCTGTCCTGAAATTGATGTCTGGCACACTGGGGAGCAACAGACTGCCCAGCTGCATGCATTTGATGCCTAGGCAGTTCTTGGATTTCATGCATCTTCAGAGATTTTAAACTTAAAAGGAAAGAAGTAGTATTTTGTATTAAACTACATTAACTGCAAAGTGGTAGCATTATTTCAATAAATTAATCTATAACAAAGGCATACAATCACATATAGAAGTTGACAGCTACAAAATGCTAAAACACACTTATTGCCTCTTGATCAAGGCATTTTTCACTATCTGCAATTTTAAAGTTTTTTCCCCAAGACAAGCAGGAAGACACATTTCAGTGCAATCATGTCACAGACAATTCCTTTCTCCTCTAAATTTGAACAGAAAAAGCACTGAAATGCATTTATGCTTCCCCTCCCATGTGTGTACACACAGTGTGCCCTTACAGGGAAGATTTGAATGTGTTTTCCTGCCTTTTATTCTCGAAGATATCAAGGTATTGTCTGCTGCTGAAAACTCTCTTGAGGACTAGGGAATTGAAGTGAGAATTTCTCATTTTAACATGAAATGCACTTTATATACAGTGCTTTTAAAAGGAACTCCTTGCTAGTTTTGTTCATATTTTAATTAAATATGTTTCTTCTTGAAAAAACTAAAAATCCTTTCCTGTTTTTACATATTCATCATTAAAAAGCAAAATTAGGTGTATTTTTCCATCATAGTTTACTTTCACACATAGTTCTAATCTGAAAAATAACAAGTATGTTTTTACGAACTGCAAGTATTTTGTCTCAGTAATTTTCTGAAAACAAGAATGATAAAAAAAAAAATCTAACCAGATAGAACTTGTTGAACCAGTTGTATTGAAGCTTCTTACCCAAAACAAACACTGCCACCACCCTGAAAATTTGCACATTAGAACCACAAACACATTCTTGAACTCCGTAACAGGCAACAGAAGAGGATAGTCTGAAGTCTCACCCTAATAATCACCTGAACTGAGCTAGGAAAAACATGGCTGCAGCCGGAAAAAAAAAAAAATGTTGGTTCCACAAAGTTATTGGAACAATCCATACTAGTAAGTTCCAGGAGTTCAGCTGAATAACCACTCACAGTATTAACAACAAATCATTGGGGGTGGGGGGCGGAAACCAACAACAAAACCAAAACCCAACACCTCCCTGCTCCCAAAAAAACCTCATAGGAGGAAATATACCATTTTTGGCTTGTTCCAGCAAGCTGCAAGGAGCTAAAACAAAGCTAATGAAAGAAAACAAGGCCTATATTTTGTGTGTAAGAGATTAATTCTTGATCTATAAAATATTATTTGAATGTTTTCTGAAAGAGGTGGGACCTGTCTGGCAGAGAAAATAATTCTGTTCACATCAAGATGTACAGTTAAGGCAACTGTATGCACTTTTGAAGAAAGAGAGTTTCAGGCCCTTGCAGATTTATGCAAAATAGCTTTCAGCAGAAGTTCTTGTACACATCTGCTAGACCCAATTCCCTTTAAAACCATCTAATCTGCTCCAAAGGTAAACCTGGTCTGACCATATGCAGTGACAATGTAACACAAAGTAGTCAAAAAATCAAGCTTGGGTAGAACATGTAAAAATTTTGTATTAAAGTCTAACAGGTCAATACTTAATGATTTTTCAACATATGCAATTTTTAACAGATTATTCCTAAATTTTAAACACTGTATGTGCTACACATATGTAGTGATGACAGCCCATGTCCCTGAGAATTCATGTCAAGTAACCATGAAAAATAAGAGTCAGAGAAGAATCATTTCTCCCTTGTAATGTTCGAAAATGAAAGCATGGGCAGAATAAGAGAACTGACTAACACCACAGAACAATTCTGTGGTTGGGCCAATAACTATATCCAAATATTGTATGTTCCAGTCTAATATCTCAAGCTCAAGAACATAATTTTTATATTTGAATGTTATGATAATGTAAACCCATGTAAAGTTGTGGTTTGTGATGGGTTTGAGGGTGGTGTGTGTTTGTTGGTTTTGGGGTTTAAGAGGAACACTTTCTCATTAATAATGTTCCATAGAGACCAATAAGCCCTCATATGAGAATAACTCAACTTCTGTCCTATGCATAAGGTGTCATAATTAGAAAGAAATAAATTACAGCTGAGGTCTTTAACAAGGTAGCATCTTATTATTGCTTACCTGCTTCTGGATTTCTCCATTTTGCTATAGTTCCAAGTCTGCAGGAAACAAATGCACTTTCTGCACTGAACGTTGTAGATTAGCTTTAGACAAAGCATAAAATAGTTCCTGTTATTTGTGATGAATCCATCAAATGGATCTATGCTAAATGCAGAGTGTATCTTAACAATGTCAGGAATTCCACTCACTTGACCTGCAAAATGCAGATCCATTAATTGCATAATGCATTTCTAGATGTTTAACATAAAAAGTATCTGTCTGCACACTCACAGCCTGGCTGACCTGAACGATACTGTGCTGACATAATTTATTGATAATAAAGTCAGAACTGTTTGAACCCTAAGATGACAACTGTACCTATCTAAATCATGCTATGCTAGAAGGACACTATAAGAGATGACCCTATGTTCCTGTTTAGAAATAAATTAATAATCAAGGGTGACAAAATCAGTACCTAATCAAACTGACTCCTTTTCGCTAAGCCTTCCTCCCTTCACAAGCACATAGAAATGAAGAAGACACTGAATTCCACCCAGCTCCAGTGAGAACTTCCATATGCACAGAGCCTTCCACGGGTCAAAGGTCTCAGGGAGAGTTAAGACTCTGTGAAAGCACCTGGACTTACGGCCAGCAATCTCCTTGTAAGCGTGAGATCAAAGTGAGCATAACCAAAGTTTAAGGCGTAACAGGAAAAAAAAAAAAAGAACAAAACCCCAAAACTTACTGCAGTCAATCTGAGTTTGCCTGCACGAAATTCCTTTCGGCAAAGGACAATTAAAGTCTGAACGGTTTTTTTGTGCTTATGGACAAACGCACACGCCGCCGCTCC